TTGTCATTTTTGCAACCGGGCTTTTGACTCTTTGCTAGCTAAGTATGGGGTAAACCACAAGGTGACCACTCTTTATCATCCCCAAGCGAGTGGTCAAGTTGAGGTGTCCAACCGTGAGATCAAGAGTATTTTGTCCAAGACTGTCAATGCAAATAGGACCGACTGGTCGAAGAAATTGGATGATGCTCTTTGGGCTTATCGTACAGTTTTCAAGACTCTGATTGGTATGTCGCCGTATCGGTTGGTGTTTGGGAAGGCTTGTCATCTTCCGGTAGAAATGGAACATAAGGCTATGTGGGCCCTGAAAAAGTTGAACTTAGAATGGGATGTCGCGGCAAATCTCCGGGTTGAGCAATTGAATGAACTTGATGAATTTAGGTTTCATGCTTACTCCAGCTCGTCCTTGTATAAGGACAAGATGAAGTACCTTCACGACAAGTATGCCCGAGGGAAGGAATTCAAAGTTGGTGACATGGTTCTTCTTTTCAACTCCCGGTTGAGGTTATTTCCGGGCAAGCTGAAGTCTAAGTGGAGCGGCCCATTTGAAGTGGTTGGTGTAACTCCCTTTGGTGCCATTGATCTCAAAAATAAGAATGGTAAAGTTTTCCGAGTCAATGGGCATCGTGTCAAGCACTATTTGGGAAAGATTGATGACAACCACGTGGTGCGCTCATTCATTTGAAATGACTATGATGGTAACACGCGTCGTGCCGCGACGTTAAATCAGGCACTTCTTGGGAGGCAACCCATGTCTTTTTCTTTGTTTTTCTGTTGAAGAGTAGGATTTTTGAGCTGATAATTTGTGAAGTGTTGCAGGGATAATGTTGAACCAGTGCAGGGCAAATGTGCAAAAAAAAATGGTCAGTCTCTGAATATGGCCTACGCGACCGCGCAGCAAAACAGTGCGGTCCGCGTAGGTGTGAGCAGTTGAAAGGCTGAGACCCAGAAGACCCAGCGCGGCCGCGTGACATTTTTGTGCGGTCCGCGCTGGAGGACCAAGAAGTACCAAGTCTCTGACAAAGTCCCATGCGGCCGCGCACCAAAACAGTGCGGTCCGCGTGGATTGAACACCTGGCCAGTC